ACCAGTGCTTGTCAATATTAGCTCGAGATGCACTAGGAGTGGAGAACTTTGATGCACACCCAAATTTGAAAAATGTTGGTCAGGAAATAGTTAAAAAGTGCAAAGGGCTTCCCTTGGTTGCAAAAATTCTTGGGGGCCTCTTGCGTGATAGAGAAGACCTTGATGATTGGAAATACATATTAAACAGTAAGATATGGAATCTACAAGGAATCCAGAGCAGCACTCTTCCAGCGGGTTTGATGTTGAGCTACTATCATCTTCCTTCTCATTTGAAGCAATGTTTTGCCTATTGTGCAATGTTTCCTAAGGATCACCAATTTAACAAAGATGAGTTAATCTTCTTGTGGATGGCGGATGGGCTTTTGAAACAACAATCAGGAGACAAAAATCAAATGGAAGTTATTGGTCACCGATACTTCTCTGAGTTACTTTCAAGAGCTTTCTTTCAACACTCAAGCAATTATGCATCGAGGTATGTAATGCATGACCTCATACATGATTTAGCTCAATACGTTGCTGGAGAAACATGTTGCAATCTTGAAAATATGTTAGAAGAAAAGAAAGAAGTAAATGCTGAAAAGGTCCGTCATTTTTCATTTCATTGTCAACTGTTTGATATGTCTCAGAGATTTGAAGTTTTGAACAAAATGACGGGTCTGAGAACATTCATTCCTATTGATTCATCAGCAACACAACTTGGAAATTATCTATCAAATACAGTGGTTCATGATTGGTTAGTGAAGTTAACATGCTTGAGGGCATTGTCTCTTCAAAGTTATAAGATAAGAAAGCTTCCGGATTCAATTGGAGATTTGAAGTGTTTGCGATACCTTAGTTTGTCTGAAACTACCATAGAGACCTTACCTGAATCCATAGGTTTCCTTCAGTCATTACATACATTGCTTTTACAAGATTGTGAGATGTTGTCCAAATTTCCTGCAACAATTGGGAACTTGAATGACCTTCAATATCTTGATATTACTAATACCCCGTCTTTAAAAGCTATGCCACAGGAAATAGCTAATCTCAAAAATCTTTTGATATTGCCCAAATTCATAGTAGGGAAAACAGAAGGACTAAGATTAAGTGATGTGAAGAACTTGTTACATCTTCGACGGTATCTATCTATTCTAGATCTGCAAAATGTTTGTGATAATTTAGATGCCAGACAATCCAATTTACACATGATTGAAGCTCTAGATGAGCTGGTGCTAGAATGGACTTCTGATTTTGATGATTCAAGAAAGGGAAGTGATATTGCAGAGGAAGTGCTCAGCTCCTTAAGACCTCATCAAAATTTGAAGAAGTTGACGATTGGTTGCTATGGTGGTAAGCAATTTCCGTCCTGGATTGGTGATCAATGTTTTTGCAATTTGTCCTATTTGAGGTTATTTGGTTGTAGAAATAGCACTTTGTTGCCATCAGTTGGGCAATTACCTGTACTTACAGAGTTGATTATTGAAGACATGAATGCAATTGAAACTATTGAGTCTGAGTTTTATGGGCATGGTGCTTTTACATCTTTGCAGATCCTTAAGTTTCACAGCATGGTAAACTGGGAGAAATGGGCTTTTTTGACTAGCACCGGAGTAAAATTCTCATGTTTGAAGGACCTTGAGATTGCAAATTGTCCTAAGCTGACGGGAAATTTACCCAGCAACCTTTCTTCTCTCATTAATCTTGTGATAAGGGGATGCCCAGAGTTAACATATTCTTCTTTTAGTCTTCCGTCTCTTGAAAAACTATGCATTGCAGGTTGCAAGCAAGTAGTTCTGGAAAGCATGGTTAATTTGACTTCGCTCAAAATGTTGGAAATTTCAGATATTTTAGGACTTGGTTGCTTGCCCAAGGGTTTTACAAATTCCTTGACAGCATTGGAGGATATAGGGATCAAAGGGTGCCGGGAGCTTACCTATTTGTGGGAGGAAGGAGCAGATACATCAAACCTTGCTCATCTTGAACGTATGAGTATTGAGGAATGCCCTCTGCTTGTGTCAGTGTCACGGGAAGAGCAAGGCCTCATGCCTCCCAATGTTAAATATCTTTCTCTGAATAATTGTGAGGCTTTGAAGTGTTTACCTAATGGTATGATGATGAGGGCAGATGGAAGAAACAACATGGAGAGACTTGAAGAGTTGAGAATTGAGGATTGTCCCTGTCTAGAGCGTTTTCCAAGAGGGAAGTTACCTGCCACGTGTCGACTCTTAGAGATAAAAGGTTGTGCAAGAGTAGAGTCTTTACCGGAGGGAATATTGGTGCAAGAAGATGATGGTGACAACAGCAACAATATTGAAAATTTGGAAGTCATAAGACTTCCATCTTTAAATTTTATTCCTAGTGACGATCGATTACCAGCTGCTCTTAAGAATTTTGTAATTTGGAATTGCCCCAGGTATACTGCTTTGCAAAAGAACAGAACTTCCCTCTCTCTAAATTTTAAAAATATTTTCCATAGTTATAACATCAGTTAGTAGCTGCTCTTTTAAAGTATTTTGAAATTTATTTATGATTGGCACAGGTTGGAATCAATTTCAGAGAGGATGTTGCAACGTTGTCTAAGACTTGAAAACATGGACATTCAGGGTTGTGTAAATTTGAAAAGCTTATCCTTCAACGGCCTTAGCAATCTCACTCGTTTAAACATTGAAGGATGTGATGCTTTAGAGTCCTTCCAGGAGATGCCGAAGTTGAGCTTATCCATCCCCAATATTCAATTTTTTAGCATATATAATTGTCAGAATCTCAAGTCCTTGCCAAATAAGATGGACAACCTCACATCGCTTCAGGAATTGGATATAAATGGGTGTCCAGGTGTCAAGTCAATTCCTGAAGGGGGTTTGCCCCCAAGGCTAACTCATCTTTCAATTGGTTGTGAGAATCTGAAGCAGCCTATGCGAGAATGGGGCCTCCACACCCTCACTTCTCTTGTTTTCTTCTCCATTGCTCATATATGTCCTCCAAAAAATGTGCTTCCTTCTTCTTTAACCTTTCTTTACATAAGTGACGTTCAGAATCTGAAATCCATACCCAGAGGCCTCCTCCAAAACCTTAACTCTCTTACACAATTATGGATCTGGAGGTGCCCAAAGCTACGATCCTTGCCAAGGGAAGGCCTACCTCCATTGCTGGGAGGACTCTGGATCAACGCGTGTCCACTTCTAAAAAGAGAGCATTTTCAGGAGAAAGGACAGTATTGGCCCCTCACATACCACATTCCCCGCGTC